GAGAGGTCCTGAAAAGAGCCGTTTTGGCGTTGTCAATCTTGTTTCAGCCTCACGCACAGCAGCAGTTGAAGAGGCGTTTCTCCTCCGCCGCTGAGTCCTTTGATCATCATATTCAGCCTCGCGCGCAGAAGTGTTCAGGTATGCTCTTCTAGAAAGCCGATGGCTACGTTGATCTTCGGACTCAGTGGCTCTCATTGAAGCATTCCGAGAGGAATTTTGAGACATAAAAATTCGTTCTGAAGACGATTCCTTATCCTATATTCGTATGGCGGACCTGGCAGCAGCGGTTTTGCAACCAAGGCAAGTTCTTTTCTTTGGTGGCGTTTCTTAGGATGGCATGAATTGTCAAATGGAATGCGTGGACAAATGCCAGAAGAGAAAGCCGAAAAGTTACAGGAATCACTAAGCTCGAATAACTTTAGGAAAGGATGGAAAAAATAAATGGTGAGTAATAAAAAAGCAAGCTTACTTATTACTACGGTGAATGCAATGCAAAAACTGACAGGACAATAAAAAAAAAATTAAATTGGGAACGGCTATAAACGACAATGAAAGCAACGCTTTAAAACTGTAGTAATATGCTTTATACAACGGAAAAGGTAATCTCACTTGAGAGAGATTGAATGTTTGGCTAATATCAAGTGCCTTGAGGAGGTAGTTCTGCCCTGGGTCAAGAGGGTGGCTGTTGGAAGACCCTATGTCTGGCAACAGGACTCTGCACCATGCGATACAAGCAGGAAAACCCAGTCACGACTCTCATCAATTTCTGTGACCGCAACACTCCTTTCTGTAAATTCATTTCAGATTTTCATCGATTGTTACCCACAATTTATCTAACTTATCTGCCCCGAAAATGATTGTTGTAGAGTATCCACTTTTCTTCGTTTGTCGTATTTTGTTTGAAAAATGGAATATGGTTTAAGTAACGAATCTCACACTGAAATACGCTTCCCTCCTATTTTTTTTCGTCTAACTTATGCGGAATCCATTTGACAAAGCGCTTAACATAACTAAACAGATGCAAATGATTCCCAAAGTTGAATTTGGATATTCGAATATCTCTTGAGTCATAAACCATTGGTTATTCTCATGTAATATTTTGATTTGATTGCTACCAATTTCTACTTATCACCTTAACTGTGGACCATCATCCAACTATTATTCTCAACCATGAAACTTAATAGACCGTTTTCCTTCTATACAAACCGTTTTTCTTAGTTTTATTCTGTTATTTAGACTTATTTTTTAATTTCTTAGAATAATAAAAAAAATGCATCGAAAACATTTCTTATCAGCCCCCTTCAATGTTTTAATCATATGTCTACATATTCGTGCCCAAAGTCATGGAACAAGGGCCTAATAAGACACTTTTATCTTGCCGAAGTTCTGCAACTGGACGGGTGATCGATTCGACATGTTGCCAGAAGACAGAGTGATGTTAAGTCATACCGTCTCGATTGCTTTCCAAAGCTATGTTATTCGTAAGTTCAGTAAATTACGTGTGAGTAGACCTCTCCACCCTGTCTCATAACGGCTCCGTTGGGCTCATGTCGGGCTAACATTTCGTCACAAAACTCCGAAGTGCACCTCATAATAATTCTGGGAAACTTGAGCCTGATGATATGGTGGAATAACGTTGTTGATGTATGTGAGTCCTTGAATGGTTACCAAGTAGTGATCCGACCCATGTCATGTGAACAAACTCCACACTATTATGAAATCATCTCCATCTTGCACAGTGCATTGTTGTCTCCATAGCCTGCACCACAATCGAACTCTACTGCCAGTTCGAAACGAGAAATCGTAACCCATTGAGTACCTTAACGATGTCAGGAGACCAAGTGTTCGGTGTCGTGGTGTTAACAGGATTATCCTGGTAGATCTTCTGCTCACATCACTCTTGGAAATTAATAAATGTTGAACAGTACTACTGGATATACATCGACATTGAATGTGTATGTCAGCTGAGCCAGAGTTGTTGCTTGTCTGTAGCCAGATGCCTCTGATCACGACTATTTACGACCATTAGTCGGCCATTGCTAATAGTAAGGCTTACAGTGAAGTATCACCGATACACATGTAAATTGAGGTATGTCAAATGTATACAAAATTTCAGATATACATCTGGCATCTCATCATTATTCACCGTTTGAACTCAGATAGTTCAGGTTGCCTTAACATGAGCAACCTAAACACCGTTTACACTAACAAGATGCCATAGCATAACTAATATAGGTCTAGATCTTTTCGTGAGATCAACTATAGCTTTTACATACTGCTCTTTTGAGACTTTTGGCACGTCAGTATATCTATCTATCTATCTATCTATCTATCTATCTATCTATCTATCTATGCATTTAAAACAACATGCCTGGCCGCACACACAATTCCGTAAAATCCATGTCGAAAACACAATTATACTTAAACATGAAAACAATAAACAAAAACTAAAAATTCTTGAAGCTATATACATAAAACAGTTGAAACCTAACCTGAACAAAATAAACTATGAAATCTCCACAAATATTCTTAAATGTCTATAATTGATAACAAGTCATTGGTTTATACCATACTTAATACGTCTTGAATTCACTCTCGCGTGGTCATGTGTGGCGTCATGAGTTGCGGTGCGATTTTCGCTTCCAGCGTCTTATATGCACATGTTTATCGTTGCTTGGAAAATTTTCATATAAACAGAAAAAGACTATTATCACATTCTTGTCCGTGTATTGCTTAATATATTGTACAGTAATTGTCATCTTAGATAATGGCTTATGTAAGCCGAAAGATTAGATTGGATTAAAAAATATGTATCAATATTGATTTTCTTTCTTCGTTTAATGTTATTAAGCTTATCAGACGTTATGAAAAGAATTTACATAAAATAAATAGACAACACTTGTCTATATTATTTAATGAAAGTTTATGAATATATATATATATATATATATATATATATATATATATGCGTATGTGTATATGGGTTTGGTCAAATACTTTAAATGAAATATTGTTTCCTTTATACATACATACATATATATATATATATATATATATATATATAAAATAAACATTGAAGTCAACACTCAGAGGCGACAGGCTGTTTCATATTGGCGCAATCCTCCTGACGATTGCGTCTAGTATGAAACAGCCTTTCACCTTTGAGTGTTGACTTCAATGTTCACTTTTTATATTTATATTTACATACGCTCTATCTCTGATATTGAGCACTTTATCCCATAAATATAGCACACCTTAAAACTAGTTTTCTTCACACACACACACACACACACACACAGACACACACACATATATATATATAAAGGTTTTTCTGGTTATGTGAAAAAGGCAGAAATAACAATTGATAGAGCAAATGTGCGTATATACGAGTCTACGTATGACTTGGTCCTCAGTGGCACACATTCACTTTATATTACCTATATTAAAATCTTTCCTACATTCTCACACTCTTTCTGTCACGCACACTGGTGTATATATATATATATATATATATATATATATATATATATAAATAAAATAATAAATAAATATAAATAAAATATTAATATTTTTAAACAAATAAATTATATATATATATATATATATATATTATAAAAAGGCTAAATTTATTCCATGTGATTATATATATATAAATATATATATATATATATATATATATATATCCTACATTCATATATATATATCCATTGGTAATATATATATATATATATATATTAACATTAATTTCCAAAATGATTATTTTTCCAATGTAAAAAAAATAAAATATTTTTGAAACATGGTAGTGTTTGAAAATCAATTAATTTATAATATTAATGCTCTGTAAATTCAGCTCTATTTTGTAAAAAAAAAATTCTATAAGAACACCGTTTTATATATATTCTTTATATATATATATATATATATATATATATATATATATATATATATATATATATATATATATATATATATATATTGACCACTAATATTATATATATATATATATATATATATATATATAGAGAGAGAGAGAGAGGGGGGAGAAAGAGAGAGAAGAAAGAAAGAAAGATAGAGCGATAGATAGATATTGTGTATATTTAGGCAGCATTCAAACAGGTTTGGTTAAATAACTTAGCCATCCGTCGATTCATCCTCATTGTGATCGTTCGAGTTCAGGGATTATTTTCTTGGTAGCCTTAGAAAATTGATTAAGAAAAATACCAAAAATTTCTTTCAAATTCTTTTTATTTTCTCACGTAATTTAAGTCACATCTGAGACGATCTTTAGAGAATTAAGTTGTCTGTGAGTATGTATATTTACAAAAACATGTATACATACGACTTTGAAAGAAAATTTTAGTATTTTTCTTAATCAGTTTTCTAAGGCTAGCAAGATTAATCCACGAAAGGATCACAACGAAAACTAATCGACGTGATATGTCTAAATTTTTTAATCAAACCTGTTTGAATATGTGTGTGTGTGTGCGTGTGTGTGTGTTTGTATGTATTGGATATTATATTTACTTTATAACAGAGATTATGAAAAATTACCCTGTCTTATAACTTTTCGTAAGTTATTTCTGACATTATACAAAAGGATTGTCGTCGAATAAACTTCCATAAAATACCACCCAGACTAATAATTTCATCATTAATTTATATGCTAATTAATTCATTTTAATTCCATTAGACGTCCTACTCCCAGATTATCAAAAAATGTTAAAGATTTTTATTTTTATTGTATTTTATTTATGTGTGTATCTGTCTGCATAGGGTGGTTTTGAATTAAATAGATTCTATAGGATGTTATCAGTATCACTGTTTGTGTATGTGTGCGTGTGTTAATACGTTATTGTGGGGAAACACGAGACCCTGTTGTGAGTTTTCACGAGTGAGGACCCAATCAACACATTGCCAGCATAATTTCCTAGCGACGAAATCCCGCCATAAATTTGCTTGGACAACACACGAAATGTGAGCACAATGATGCGCATGCGTGGTTAAAAAGAAATGTATGTGTAGGTGAGATTTAGAAAATGAGAGAGAGAGAGAGAGAGAGAGAGAGATGTTTTTATGGAGACAGTGAATACACGAAAGACAGTAGGAGAGATAATTAGAAAAGGGGTTGGACAAAAAGAAAATTTTGATGTAGAAGGGTGTGACAGAAAATTATGAGCGCGGAAGAGAAAGAGTAAAGAAAAGTGTGAGAGAAGAAAAGAGAGAGAGAAATAGAGAGAGATAGAGAAAAATGAATACAAAGAAAGAAAGAGAGATAGAGAGAGAGAAAGATTGCATGAGTGAGAAGAAAGGAAAAAAAAGCGAAAGAAAGAACACAAGTAAGTGATGGAAAGTTGCAAAGTGGCGGATTGTAAAAAGAAGAAAATGAAAATCGAAAAAGAAAAAAAAGTGACTGAAAAAAGATAAGGAAGAAAAAGAAAGACAAGATTCCAGGAGTAGAAGAGATAAAGAGAAAAAAAAAGTTGAATCGATAGAAAGAATGAGTCTGTCTGTACGCGCATTTATGTATATATCTGCGTTTGTGTGTATGGGTGGAATTGCAGGTATATAAAACAATCTTCGTATCTTTCTTTCCGGCTAAATACTTGCTTCTGCTGCTGTGACTACTGCTTCTGTCACCATTACGCTTACTGCTATTGCTAAAACGGTGCAGTAGTGTAACAGAAAATAATTAAAGGCAGTCGGGACAAGACGAAACTCAAGACAGAACAGCATAATCAATCGACAGGTCAGTGGTCAATATTATTTCTTGCTGTTTTTTTTGTTTTTAATTTTTGGTTTTCTTGGTAATTTCCCCTCATTTTTTTTTTTTTTTTTTTACTGATGATGAGTATTTTTTACAAACTTTTTCTCTTTTATTTATACTTATTCACTTATACTTATTTAGTTTCAAAGCGTGGCAGTTTTTATACTGGAAATCAAGAAAGTTTTCCTAATATTTTAAAACTCTTTTCAGCATTCTAGCTGATTTTTAGTAACACTAATTTTCACTTTTACTTTTAATCTAACTTTCATTTTCAATTTTTCTTTCCTTTTTATTTTTACTTTTACTTTCACTTTCAGTTTTACATTGTTGTCTGTCTACTGGAACAACGTCATCTATTATCTGATAATTTGCAAGAAATTGATGTAGTCTTTTGTTCTGGGCTGGATGATCCGTTTTATTTTCAAAGTCAAAGTTATTATTCACTAACTTTAGCTTAGTTTAACACAAAACCATAAGTATGGAGCACCCAGTGAGAATTGAAGACATTAGTCAGTAGGTATAGTTAACCAGACTACCTCGCTATTGCCCCTAAACGGTGGGCCTTAGAAGAGACATTCTGGTTTTTATCTAAAAATCCAACTTATTTGTACAATTGCCAGTCAATCACATTTCTTAACTATTTAAGCCACTTTACGATATCTTTCTCTGAGCCAACTTGTTGCATGCGCTTCTTATATGGTGGACTTCTCATAGTTTACAGTTAAGAGTTTTTTATATTATTATTATTTCAAATTTTAGCGGAAGCATATTCATATATTTTATATTGGTAGTATTTTTAAACTACTTTTGAGTACCATTTTTTAAAAATAACAATCTTCTCATTTGAGCATCCTGGGTATGACAATAAACTACATCCGCGTCCTGGGTAAGACGATAAACTACGTCCAACAGCCAGGCCTCTGAACAGGAGGTTTTGAGGAGCGTGGAACCACTTCTTAATTGCTGGTGTCCCCAGGTCCACCCTGACACAGCGTGGTAGCACCAGTTAGGGTCCCAGCTATGGGCAAATAGCTAATACCCAAAATGGGGTCGATATGAAAGTATAAAAATAGGTTTTAATACCAGAAATACTTTATAAAAATTTATTACCAGCAATAAATTTATGAAAAAAAAATTATTACCAGTACTACACGTTTGAAAAAAAATATTACCAGCTATACATTTTCGAAAAAAAAATACTACCAGAAATAGATTTATCTGAAGGAAAAAAATATGACTAGCAACACATTTTTGAAGAAAAAATTACCAGCAATAAAAATGTTATCGGTATTAAATAACCCATTGAGGTTGATATACCGTAAAACAAAACAAAGCAAACCAAACCAAACCAATCACCATTTGAGTTTAAAACTATATTAGTCACTTAAAAAAACGCCTTGGAGAGTTAAAATAAAACGCTTTTTTTGTGGATTATTAGGCAAAAAATAATCTATGGAAAACGAAACCTTGGTGCTTAATTAATATTTTAAATATTTCTAATTCATATAGAAAGTGTTTCAAATAAATCTTACACAACATATATATCTTCCTTTATATACCACGTTCTTTCCGGACGTCGGCATTTTCACAACTTCCTGTTTTTTGCTGCTCTGTATAACCTTTGACCTTTTAGCACCTTTTCTTTTATATATTCTGTCACCCATTCAACCCAACACATTAAGTACGTCACTTGCTTTCTAACGTGGTTTTCTTACTTTTAAACTATCCAGTCAATATTAAATTATCCAGGCCCTCTTTCCTCGTTATATGCCCCAGAAATTTCAGCTCTACCTTTCTGATTGTCAGCAGCAATATCTTTGCAGTTTTCAGTCTCCTTAAACCGTCCTCGTTTCTCACATGCCCTGTCCATGCCATACGTTGGTAGATTCGCAACTCTTTGGATTCACACATCTTCTTTATTCGCAAGGAAATTGTCCAACATTCACTGCCACGTGTCGCTGACAAGACATTTTGGAGCAGTTCCACGCTCTTTTGTTTGTCTTTAACAACATTTTCCTCTTTCTTAATAATTTTTAAGATGGCATCTTTCGCTTTCAATGCCGACTGATTAGCCACACATGTGTATCGATATACATCTATTTTTTCCGTTTTAGAAAAGAGTTGGCGTCATATCATTTCCAATGTTACTTGCACGAAATTGAATGGAACGAACTCGACTGGAACACACACACACACAACACACACATATGTGTGTGTGTATATATATATATATATATATATATATATATATATATATATATATATATATATATATACATACAGACACACATATATAAACGCATATATATATACAAACACACACACATATATATATATATATATATATATATATTTTAAGACATTTTTATGTTTATACATTCTTTTTTATAGATATAAATATTTAAGTAAATGCGCTGTTTATAATAAACAGTATTAACAACATTTACTGGCCTGAATGTCCGGTAAATTGTCATAGAAAATATGCGTCCTCCGACATTCCGAACCTGTATTCTATACGGAACCGTCATTTAGTTTGACGTGCCTTTACCGATTTCGCCACGGAGGAGCGTTCGGTTAGCAAGGTCGATTTATCTGTTTTTAAATTACAATTTTCCATGATTTTCTCACGTACATTCATATCTGCTCAATGCGTATCCAAATGTAAACAACATTCTCGGACATTCAGGCCGGTAAATGTTGTTAATACTGTTTATCATAAACAGAGCATTTACTTAAATATTTGTATCTATTAATTATTAAAATAATTGTCTGACTTTGTCCATTTCATACATATATATATGTCTACATACACACATATATATATACACACATATATACACACATATATACACGTATATATATATATATATATATATATATATATATATATATATACACACACACACACTCACGCACACACATGCACATGTATATAAAAATGCACACTGAGGTCAACACCAGTAGCGACAGCCTGTTTATGCTTGAACGTAATATTCAGCTATTTATATTTATCTACACTCTCTCTCTGATATTGAGCACTTTACCCATAAATATAGCAAATATAAATCCATATATATATATATATATATATATATATATATATATATATATATATATATATATATATATATATATATATATATGCTTTTTAGGTGTAGTAGTTGTGAGTTTACTACCGGCGCCAATGAACAGTTTTCGTATCTAGGTAAAAATGACCCCATTTTCAATGCTAATTTTTAACACATGTAACACAATCTTCCAGTTTCGTTTAATCCGATGCTATACTAAACTAGTTTTAAATATAGGGAACTTTTTTATTTACTCCTTTCCGTCATTAAAAAAAACGATGGAAATAAGAGAAAGAAACAATACAAGAACTTAGCACATCTATAATGCGCAGACCTTTCCCATGTTTGTATTAGATTGCAGTCTTTAATAGGCTTTACTTGCCAAAGTCTGTATCTTCTCCAACATGTAACATGTGGTATATTTTACTGGATTACATTGACTCAGCAGTGAGAAACGATCTCTGACCTGATCTATGATTATAGAAAGCGTTGATCAAATTAAAGCTCTTTTATATTGACTGCTAATCTTTGTACTAAAACAACAGATTTGATTCGCATTGTTGATGTTTGTTAGCAATAGAGAAACGGATCTGTTAAAAGCACTCTACCTCAAACAATTTTAAACTATAAAATTTTCTGGTTGTTCTTCTAAGCATACTTATTTTTAATCAATATTTTATTAACAAAGTGTAGATAATTATGCTATAATTTATGTTCATATTAGGTTGAGTCATAAATGATTTCCGTTTTTGTTTATTAACTTGATTCTTCTACAAGTACAATGACATTTAATTCAATTATATATTCATTTTTGTTTGTCACTTATCAGGTAGTTCTTTTAAGGAACCTTCTGTTGATTTTGACGTGAAAAAAGTTTTCTACAAACTCTTGAATCAGGTTTTGATTAGAAAAAGATTTTCTATCAAAACGTTTTGCAGAGTTCGAAAAAGGTAATAATCAGTTGGCGTAAGGTCAGGTGAATATGGCAGGTTGGGTAGAACAGACAGACTGAATTCCAAAATGTTTTTCTGTGTTATTCTTGCTGTATGCGGCATTATAGTGGCATTTTTTCTATTGCGTTCCACCAAACGTTGATGGACACGTTGCAGCTGCTGGATGTATAAATGTGCATTTAATATTTCATTGCGCTTTAAGAATTCTAAAGGAATAATAACCGGACGATCCCACCACGATCGGCATAGAAATTGGTTCTCCGAAACAAAAATTACTTGGTTAATCTAATCGTTCGTTTTTAAAAAAATGTTTCATACGATGTATACTGGCTAATGAAAATGACAATAAGCATAATATTCTGAGAGGGCGTACGATCACTGAAGTTAAGCAACGTTGAGCCTGATCAATATCCAAATGGGTGACCGATTGGGAAAAGGAGGTGCTGTAAGCTTGGATGTGCGGGTGGTGAAATGGTTAACGGCTCGAAATTGGAAATAGGAGAGCCGAGTTCCAATTCCAGTCGGGGTCGTTATAATCACTTAGGCGTAAATTTTCTGAGAAAAGAATGAATTCACCTCATCTCTCCCAGCTATGGGTTAATTAGTAGGACTTGTATCAGTAAATCATTATTATCTCCCAAAAATTCTTAGAATCTAAAAATGAGAATGATGTAAATTAATACCGAAGTACTACGAAAATTAGCCATACTTGTTTCATAATAAAATATTGATTT